AAAATAGTTTAGCAATTTATATATAACAATTTTATTAGATATAAAGTAGAAAAGATCACTCCTTTTAATTTTTTGAATCATTTACATTTCGTTTGTTTAAGTTTGCCTTTTAGCTTTATTTTTTTTAGCAGTTTTGTTTTTATTGAGCTTATATTTTTTAGAAGGAAAATAGGGGTATGGATGAGGGCTAATTATTTTTTATGCAACAAAAAAGATAAACTAATGTTCCATAAAATTGGTTATTACTACTTTAAAATTTCTGTGATGCCATTAACTATTTATTTATTTTTTTTAGAAAATTTAGAAAAATAAATAAAAATTTTGTGCAAACACTAACATGACATGTCACATGTTATTGTATGTAAAGTTTAAATTTTTGTTTTGAGGATTAGAGTTCTTAAGAAAAAAATAATAATAATAAAGTTAAAGAGTATAGTTTATATATATATATATATTTATATTTTGTTTACTTTGAATCCTTTTGAATTTTCACATGTCATTTTTAAAACTTTTGTTTGCACAATTCAAGTAATATGTTTGTTATTTGCATATATGCTTTTTTGATAAGTATGTGTATGTGGTAATATGTGCTTTATAGCTATTTTACCAATGTGTTTTTATAATAATGTAAAGTGTTTTTTCATTGTTTGTTTATGTGTTAATATGTGTTGAATAATTGTTTTATAAATGTGTTTAAATATGTTTATATAAGGTTAAATATATATATTGTGTTTATAGTTGGTACATATGTTTATATTATGTTGTTTCCATGTTTTTAAAGTGCTGTGACTTGGTAAACGTGTAGACCAAGATTTTTCAACCTCGCCAGCCAAGGTTACATGGCAGTGTTTAGTATCAAACTGTTACTGCTTTAGTTCTAGGTGTTTTCAAGCCTTTATTATTAATTATTCTCAAAATACATAATAATGTATTTTAATAACATTTTGTGTAACGTTGTTACTTATGTTCTGTTAATGTTATTTTACTTTATATGTTATATATGAATGTTATTTTACTTAAGTTATGTTATATGCATATTATATTAACTTATGGTGTGTGCTTTTGTTGTTGTGATGTTCTTTTTTTGCAATCTTTTGAGTTGATAGACATTTGGCTTACCTTCACATTGATGTCTATTGTTAAAAATGATAAATAGATAATTTCAGATCTTTATTAAGATTAATAGGGAATTTCATTATTAGATCACTAAAACACAAGATTCAATAAAAGCCTACTACTACTACTCTGGTAAATCACAACAGCTTTTCTCTATCAGGTACATTAATTTCTATTTTTTGTACCTAATGTTATTCTTGCTTATTTACTTATTTGTTACATTTTTTGTTTTAGATTCATCAAATGATGTACTTATGTGATATAGAAGAACAGAATATTGTAAAGTTTTGTGAATTTTTTAAACGTTTATTAATAATTTTTTTAAAGAAACAATATTGAAATTTGCAAAAAAATGTTTACAACATTTTTTTTTTAATTTTTCTGTATTAGCAGTATGTTTATTATTAGAATTATTTGCTAATTTAGTTATTTAGATTAATTTTTTTAAATCTAAATAAAAAAATTTAAAAGTTAATTTTTTGTTTAAAAATCTCCTAGATGATATGTTTTTTATTTAAAGTCATAAGATTATTGTATAATTTATTTTAAATGTTTCTTATATTTAAAAATTATTTTTGTGTGCTATTTAGAGTAGAAAAAAAATATAGAGAGAAAAGATCACAATCTTCAATTTCTTTTTAGATTTCTTGTTACTACTTTCAATTAAAAGTGAAGTTTAAATGGATGATATTAGGCTCGAAACAGATATTATTTTAGAAAATGGAAATGTTAATAGGTTAACAACCCCAGAAATAAAATAGAGGCTCAGACAAGATGAAATTTATAATCCACAAAATGCTAAAGCAAGCAGCAATTACTTTGAAGCAGCAATTACTTTGAAACGAAATGATGAGAGTGTGATTAGGCAAGTTGAAAATAATCGTCGCAGAAATGAAAGTGATGAAATTAATAGTCAACAAAATGCTAGATATGCTGCTAGACACAAAAGAATGAATTGTATAGCAAGAAGTAATACTATTCCAGATTATCATTATTTAGGAGAAATGAATTGTATTTGTCAGCATTGTGGTGCTAAGAAATTTTTAGATTAAACACATTTTTAATGTTGCCATTATGGAAAGGTAGTTTTGTCGCAACCTTTACCATTTCTGCAAGATTTACAAGATTTATTTAAAGGAAATTATGCAGATGGAAATGCTAATATGAACTTTTTTTAAATATACTTGAATTTATAATGCCTGTCTTTCTTTTGTTTCATTTACAGCTAATGTATTTCAACCCAGAATTAGAATATGCAATTCAATTCTAAGCCAGATCAAGATGTTCTGCCGACATATTGTTAATTACATCTATGATCCGCTTGCAGCAGTAAGTTTTTTAATGCGACAACTTGGTAATGATCTTTGCTTAAATGATTTAATGTTTCAATTGCAAACTATTACTAGTGAAGAGAACCCATTTGCTTTTGCATTTAAAAACATGTCTGAAGTGGAAGATAAAGAAGTTCTTCATGCAGCTATAGAAGGTCGATCAGTCTTAGTTGTAAAAATGTCTTTACCTGAAAGGCAAGATAGACACCACTATAATCTCCTTTCACATAATGAAGTTGTATTTGTTAGTAAAGATGGTGCTCCATCTGCTTCCAGGGAGTTGTTATTTACCCAAGAGGTCATCCTCTTAAAACTATATCGAGTAAGTCTGTCAAATTAGATCCTATGGTTTATTCTCAGTATTACAACTATAGACTTTTAGTATGACAATTAACCTAAAGAAACTGAGAAGCAAGCAGTGAGATGCCTTACACAAACATGTAAACAACCTTCAAAATGATCATAATGTTAGAGCAGGACGTGTTGTAGTTTTGCCATCAACTTATGTAAGAAGTCTTAGAGCTTTATTTAACTTAATTTTTTTAAATATAGTAGTTTTAATAAATAAATGTTTGTTCTAGATTTTTTACTTTTCTGTTTTCAGATTTTTAAGCATCAAGCAACTTAGCGAAGGAAGTTTTGTTTTATATTTTAGTGCAATTAGAAAGAGTTGAAAGCTATTTTTTAGAGCAATTGGAAATAGATGAAATGATTTTTAGTCACTATAGATCACTTTATTGTTATTTTTTTATTATTATTGATAGAAGGGTTAATAAAAAATTTTAGACAGTAAAACTGGTACTGATTTTAGTAAGTTTGCTATATTTTTTTTATTTTATATTTTTATTAGATTTTATAAGTTTATTCTTTATTAGATATATATTTTATGTATTTAACATGGAAAACTGTCTGTGATTTGTTGACAAATAAGTTTATACATAAATGTGCCTATATCTCAGTATATTTTATATTTCTCTGTATATGAATATTTTCTCTTTGAAAATATTAATATACACATAGTAGGCAAAGAATTTATTTGTGTAAATGCTAATAGGCAAAAATAATTGTTGTCCAAATGAAAGAGATAGAGCTAGCAAGATGTAATTAGCCATTGTTGAAATGTAAGAAATGCTGCTTGGCAAGCAAAAAACTTACTTGCTATAATTCAGTGTCAAGCCGTGTTAACGTTTATTTGATTTTACTTTAAACACTTTAGAACAATACCCAGGCATGAATTTTACTGTTTATAGTCACAGTTAATAATAGTTTTAAATTTAAATGATTTTAAATTTTTTTATTAATTCAAACATAATTATGTTCTTTTTTTTAGTTACCTTTGTCATCACTTGATTAGTTTGCTTACTGTTGAAACATGGTTTTAATTTTGTAAATTTAATGGTATGAAATTTACTCTATTAATTATTAGCGGACAGTTAGAGAAAAGCTGGAACTTTATATAATAAAAGTAAAAATAATTGTTTATATTTAGATGAGAGTTTAATGAGAATTATTACATAAAACTTATTTAATTACCGTTATGTGTTTCTTAATGCCACAATTGATTATGACCACGCATATAAAATATTTTATGGGCTGCTTGCTATTTTATGATACAATTGTTAAAATTGTTTAACCCTTATTGTTCAAATATTGTAATGAATAAAATCTTTTTAGTTCAAGTTTTTTAGTTGATAAAATGTCTTATTAATTTGTGGTGTTATTTGCCTATGTTATTATGTTAAGTTTTCTTGCCTTTTTATAATCTTTTCTTTTTTAATTATTTTAGAGAGACATAGTAATGCATGCTTACAAATATCTTATGCTATGCGCTATTGTTACTGTGTTTTGTGTTAATAGAACTGAGCTGTTACAGCTAGTTTTTCAAGTCTTTATACCCTAATTCTACTAACAATAAAATGCAAATAATACTTTTGTAATTAAAAATTGTAATTATTTTTCATTTCTTTTTTTTAGGCACTGGAAAGCTTTACTTGACTTTCTTTTTATGGTACCTGCTGTGTTGTAACATCTTTTAAAAAGAAATTAACTGATGTTAATGTTATTAACATCATTGCTTATAGTTAACGACAAAAATGTTTTTTTGTCGTTAACTATAAGCAATGATTTATTTACTAATAACCACCGGGTTGCTTACTGCTAGTTAATTATGAGTAAGGATTATGGGTAATTCCTTTTGTTAATTATGGGTTATTACTTTTGTAGTCATAAATTTAATTAATCTAAGTTGTAAATTATTGTGTTGTTTTGTTTTTATTAACTTACTACAGTGTTCACAGTTTCCCTGTAAACTTAAACTTTAAGGACCAAAAATTTTTCCAGATATCATTTAAACTTTAAGGACCAGATATCATTTATTGTCCACCAATCAGCAGTGTATTAGCTTTTAACATAAATGTCAAATATACTTTAAATTGTTACTGTTTATTTGAACTTTCTATTAAACAAACCAATTGCTTAAATACAAAAAGGGTTGAAACTAGAGTGGATCTTTGAAGTGATTATAATAAATACAAACAATATTAAAAAACGCACCTGTTTTAAGGATCATGTTAACAGGAACTAAATCAACACTGAATTTTTCTATGAAATTCTCAAACATTCTATAATAACCCCCTAATTTACAGATTTTATTGAGCAGCTCAGTTTCACTAGGATGAACAAATGGAAGATTCTTTGTAACCTTTGTAAACAAAAAATATTATGTTGGCAAATTATAAAAAATTCTCAAATTATAAAAAATAAAATAAATTTACATATTATAAAAAATAAAAATTAAAATTTATAAATTATAAAAAATATTGACATAAACATTGACATAAAAACTCACATAAATATTGACATGTTATATTTAAAAAACCCAATATAAAGATATTTACCAAAAAAAAAGTTAACTTTAAAATATTTGACATTTTTTGTTTTAGATAATTTGAAATTTTGATTCCAGATTTGATAATTGTGACCAGAATTTTCAAGAGAGTAACTGTTAATGTTCATAAAATATTTTATTTATGAAGTACGAGTCAATTCTTCACATCTTAAATCAATTAATTTATCATGATAATTCATCATAATCATCTTAATATCACATTCATCATGATCATTTTAAGTCAATTAATTTATCTTACATTTAATATATTATCTTGCAAAGATTTGTTGTACAAAATTTATTCTTAATAAAGTTGTTGATTAAAAACTTTACTGTTATTATTTAGAAAGATCCTTTTATATTTTTCATTTTTAAATTCATTTCCCCATAATATAATAACAGTTTTTACTTATTTTACAAAATTTTGCATTACATTGAACCTCTAATTATCTAACAGGCTTGTAAACATAATAGTTTCAAACCATTAGAAAACCAAACTTTTGTGATAAACATTAGATGAGTCATTTAAATTCAAAATTTAAATATTTCATATATATCTTATTAAAAATTCTAGACTAAAACTCAAAAATAAAAATATTCAATAGTTTCAAAAATTATTTAATGCTTTTTTAAAATTTAAAAATGTAAATTGCATACTGTATTAACTTGCAGTATCTGGTATTTGGGAAGACAAGAAACAATAGAATGAAGTGTGAAATGAGATTTAAAAAAAATTAAAATAACAATTAAATAAAAACCTCTATTTCATTATTGTCTTGATTAACTTTAAAAATAGCTCCAGGTGTCCCGGATAATGCAACCAACAGCTCATGAAACATTTTATTTGCTTTAATAAAATCAAAATTAATTACAATTAAAGAATAAGTATGTCGTCTGACCATGAGCATTACTATAACAATTTTTAAACTCTGTAAATTTTCAAAGCAATTTAATTTTAAATTAATATCATACAAAAATTAATAGACATTTTATATTAAACTTAAAATAATTAAACAATTAAATTATTTTATTATTCAAATTTCAAATAATAATTATTAGTTTTAAATTTTTTTAAATACCAAAACAAAAATTCAAGTTTAAGTAAAACGTAAAATATATAAAATACAATAAATTTATTTATAAATAAATACTTTTGTAAACACATTCCATTAAAACACAATGATTAGTAACAAAATAAATTTTTTTCTTTGGTTTTATTTTGTTAATGTTAAATAGAAACTTTGAATAACTTTTTTTACTTGAAGATTTTTCAATAAAAAGTATGTTTATTATTCTTATTTTCTGCACCAGGTGAATCAGAAAATTGAACATTTTGTGGAAAGCTGTTGCTAACCCTTTCTGGAAAGCTGTTGCTAACTCTTTTGGAAAAGCTGTTGCTAACCCTTTCTGGAAAGCTGTTGCTAACCCTTTCTGGAAAGCAAATGTGATTTTTTGAAGATAACTTTTGATTTTTATTGCTTAATGTTCTGTCAGCAGAAAATAGGTCAAAATTTTCAATTTCATTTCCTAAAATTTTTTCAAAATTTACAACTTGGCTTTCAAACCTTTGGCGTGAAAAGTGAGCATACATTCCATGAAAAGAGTGTTTATTGATCATATATGTGGTTTGTTTTGGCAATGTTGGTTCTTCGATTTGACATGATCTTTTTATTTGTTGTTCCTTGTCTGCATTTAAAAAAATTGGATAATTTTGATTCTTAACAGTGGTTTGCAAATTAGTTGAATAGTCAACGCTTGGAACAACTTCATTTACTGCAAATGTAGAATAAATCTAGATAAGAAGAATTGCATTAATTTTCTACATCTTATAGCAGATTTCTTTTAATACAGAATAACTTATTTTGTCAATTATTAGTAGATATATAAAATAAAAATATTAGTAGAATAAACTAAATATAAATATTAGCAGATATATAAAATATTAGTAGAAATAAAGTTATATAGACATTATACAGGATATAAACCCTAATAGATTTTCTTTTATTCAAAACAGCTTGTTTTTTTGACAAAATCAACAAAAAACATAAAAAAATAATTTCTTTTGGTTAACTATTCAAATTGTTTTTTAGTTGTTTTTTTATATTTAACTTGCAAAAAACTATTTTAGCAGTAGCCATGGTTACTACAAACAATAACAATTTCATTTTTAGGTTTTATACCAAAAAAATGTAAAATTATACAAACATAAATTCTAAATAATAACTTCACCATGAAACATATTTAAAAAAAAAAAGACTGCAATAAAATAGCTTAAAAGAAAAAAAAAAAACTTCACAATAAAATAGAAAAAAATGAAGATCTCAATAAAAGAAGCACAGAATTTCTTGTCATAGATATAGGGGAGAGTGTGATGAAAGAGCCAGGTTTTGAAAGAGCTGATACCATTATATCTAACTTACTGGCACCTGACCATAATTGTATTTACTCTGTGTGGCAATGCTGGATACCTGTCACCCACAAAAAATTTAACCCCACCCCAAAAAAAGTAATTTTTGTCCACCCCAAAACATGATTGAAAAATCTTGTACAAACCTATGCATTACTCCTGCAGGCGAAAGCACTTCAATTACAGACCAGTATCACTAAAGTAAGTATCACTAAAGTAAGTATCACTAAAGTAAGTATCACTAAAGAAATGTGCAAGATAACAAAGAGCATAATTCTTGAGCGAATCATCATGCATTGCAACAACAACAATAAAATACTAGACATCATCAAAACAGAGTCAAGCATCAAGTTGAAGCAATGGCTACAAGGGAAACCAAGCACTTGGTCGGTTTAAGAAATCTTTCCAAAGCAGCAATCTCATACTTTGGAAAATGCTTTACAAAATGCACATTAGACTGAACTTTGAAAAAATGTACATTAGCCTGAACCTTGTCTTTTAGATGTGAAGACCAGATTTGGCCACCCAAACGTGGTCTTCACATCTAAAAGACAACATCATGAAAGCATTCAACAACATGTGACAAAAGTGATCATAAAATACAAGCAAAAATCATACAAAGAAAGGCTTACGATTCTAAATCTAACCAAACTTGAAGACAGACGAGCTAGAAATGACTTGATTTAGCAATATAAAATTGTGCATGATTTCACGAAAATCATGCTTGCTTTGCATTAAGTTTACGTACAAATGCTCGCTGCGTATAATCTTTGTGGCAACAACTTAGGACTAACCAATTAGTGAAGAACTGTTAGGAAAGAGGTAAGCTCTTCATAAATGTCAAAAGCATGGAACACTCTGCCATTAAACATCATTAACACATTTTCAACTGATGCATTCAAAAGCTGATTTGACACACTGGCAACATAAGCATTGACACAGAGTGTATCCAATACTTGTCAGCATAGAAGTGCTGTCATCTTGTGCTGCATCAATATGTTATAAACATTTTATTGCTTATGGATTTAATTTATTTAAAATATTATTGATCTTGAATAAACAAATTTTTTTTAAATTAATATTTTAAAACTGGATGACCTTCCTGGCGATCTCTATAGCAGTTCAGAACTAATTATTATAGTTGTAATACCACAATTAGGAAGATTAATAAAGGTTTACCTTGTAATCTTCCTTGTAATCATACCAAAATATTACCACCCAAGGTTAACAACCTTGTTTAATTTGCATGTGTACCCAGAGTTCAAACAAATTTAATTTCTTTATGGGAATGTAAACAGTAAATAAATTTAGAATTAAAAATGTAATGAATACTTATAATCAAAACACAACACTTTAATAATACTACCATACATTAAATGAAAAATTAGGTTTATAACCATCAGATGAAATATTTTCTTCAGAAACTGCTGTAGTCTATAAATAAAAAATTAGAAGACAATTAAATACTAGTAATTATAATTAATAAACTAGCTATATTATACCATAATTATAAAAATAAATTTTTAAATAGTAAAATCATTTATAAAATTAGATGAAAACAATTTTGTTGACTAAATTTCAATGAAAAAAGTTATATGCTAATATTAAAAATCTCAATTTAATTCAAAAGCTATAACCTTTGGAATTCTGGAGACAGTTGAAGAGTTCAATGAAGTTGAAGAGTATACTTTCAAAGGTACTTCTCTTTCTTCATACTTTACAAGGTTACATTTATTATTTGATAGATTTAAGACTTTAGACAAATCACAAACTGTTTTGTCGGTTTTAACTGCCTGTTATAAAAATGATAAACATTTTTGATTGACATTACATACTTGTACATACATATTAAAACATATTATACATAAAGAGTACCACACTTTCTATAGAAATAAAACATGAGTACCACACTTTCTATAGAAATAAAACATGAGCACCAGACTTTCTATAGACTATAACTAATCTTGTAAAAAACCCTTTGGTTTCAGAATGAATACGAGAACCTTTTTATCAAGAAATTTTAAATGTGCGCACTAAAAACGAATTAATATTTTATATGAAATTTGTTTTAGCAAATATTTAATTATACATTAAAAAAATTAATTATTTCTATTTCTAAAACTACCTTATATTAGAAAAGTAATGTATTCTAGGGTGTACTTCTTTCTAAACACTTTCTAAAAACTTTTTTTTTTAATTTAAACTTTTTCAACTTTTTTTATTTCTATACTTTTTCAAAAAATTTAGTTTGGTTTCCAAAAAACATTCTACTTGCTCCTTGGTTGTAGTGGTTCCACTGTGGGCTGGGAAGGTAATATTATTAAAAAGTTTAATTAATAAATTGTTCAAAGAAATATTTTCAATTAAACATTCTACTTACTATGTAGTACAACTAAAAATTCTATATAAATGAATAGATTTGCCACAACAAAAATATTTTTACAAGAGTGTATAATAAAAATTGTATAACTACAAAAAAATAACTATTATAACCCCCTCCATCCACTAGTTCATCATTTATTACAGATTGTTAAAATTATGACCTATAACTTTTAATTTTAAGAAATCATTAAATAAACTAACCTCTGTTTCTATATTAGAAGTTCTTCTGACTTCAGCAGAATTTATCAAGTACTTATTTTCATACTGCTTTGGTTTGATTAATTGAGGCACAACAGCCTCACCACTAACAGAATAAAGTTCAGCTGCTTCATTCATATCATTACAACTATTTTCATTTAAATCTTCATAAAAACTTTTATCATCTTCTTGCAGTCCAGAGTCACATACCCTAAACATATATATCAGGGTCACATTATAAACATTAAAAAAAAAAAAATTAAGGATATACAAAAAAAAAATTTATTTACAGCTCATAAAGTAGGCGAACTTTATGTCAATAAAATGTACCTTACTTTTATTAGTTATTTAATAATAATATGTTTGTAAAATTTAGCAGTTAGTGTTAAAGAGATCAGCAGCTGGTTTAAACTATTCAAGCACACAAAATAAATTTTCAAATATTACAATGATATAAGAAAATTAGTTGTTATGTAAACATGTTGCGTAGATGACTGTTGGGAAGAAAAAGTTTTTTTTATCTAACTTTAAATTTTTCAAAAAATATTTTTATTTACGCTATTTTTATTTTTTAAACTTTTAAAATATTTATTTCTATTATTATTATTTTCTTTTAATTATTATTTATGAAAATGTTTCATTTTAAAATACTGTAATAATCAAAAAAATTGACATTAAATATATGTATATATATATATATATATATATATATATATATATATATATATATATATATATATATATATATATATATATATATATATATATATATATATATATATATATATATATATATATATATATATATATATATCCGTAAAAATCATCTAATCATCCTGTCAATGGATTACAAAAGTCAATGTCACAAGTTTTGTTTGTATTTTTCTTAACTACTAATAAAAAATTTAAAAAAAAACTATTTACAAAAAAGTTATTTTCAGTAAATCCTTAAATTTAAAAGTTATTTATATAATTATTTATATGGTTATTTTCAGTAATTCCTCTAGTAATCTGTTGGTTGTTCATCCAATCAAAATAAAAAATAGTTTGCATAGTGTAAATACTACAGAATTAGTAAAGTTAGTTTTTGCAATAGTTTCTGATTCAATGAATCATAAAAAATATTCATTGCAAGTATAAAGTTATTGTCTATCAGAAGATGTAACAGAAGTTCATGTTTTTAGTCACAATGCAGTTGACAATGCATCTTAATTTAAAAATGAGTATGTTTTAACAATGAAATTTTTTTGACCTGTAAATAATATTAAAATTTAAAAAACATAATTTAAATTCAGATTTAAAAACCAAATAATTGTTACTAAAGAAAAAAAAAGTTTTTAAGGATATATAAATAATAATTTTAGAGAAAAGTTACTTTGAAGTTAAATATTAAAAAAAAAGTATTTTGCACGTAACATAGATAACTCACTAATTTCTGCTTTGTTAAACTTTTTTGTAATCTTTACTTTTTTGTTATCTTTACTTTGAATAACACAGATTTAATACAAAAAAAAAAATCCTGATTTGCATGTCAACATAAAAAAGTAGAGCTAAATATTTCATTTAGTTAAATCATAAAAAAAGTTGTGCACAATGCATAGCTGACCTGAAAAACTCCACATATATAAACTGTATGTAATGCACAATGTATGTACTAGACCATGCTAACACATAAATAAAAATATAAATAGAGATTGTTCCTGGGAAATTCGTGGGAAAAAAAAAATAAACCAAAAATTCGAAATCCCAGGAAATTTTTTCCAGGATCACAAGATATTTTTTCGGTACTCATGGATTTAAATAATACATCGTTTAATTTTCCCGCCAAAACTATAATTTTTTGTTTTCCAGACCATCAGAAGATCACTTAATGTTATTGTATACTTGTATTTTATCACTGTGCAACAAAAATTTTAATTAATGTTATAAAAATGTCCTCAAATTGTAAAACTTCAAAGGTTTGGAGTTATTTTGATCTAAAAAAAAATGATGAGGCACAATGCAAACATTGTCCAAAATTAATATTATGCAAAGGCGGTACCACAGTTAGGTTGAAAAGACATTTAGACAAAATCATTTTAAATAAAGAATGTGAAGATAAACCGCTTAATAAAAAACGTTGTGTTCAATCTACAATTGATTCTATAATAAAAAAAGTTTCATTAGGAGAACGATTGGCTCGATTTGCTGATATTGATGGATTATCCATAAGTGCAATAGCTGAATCGGATCAAATTCGTGAGTTGCTTCATAATAAAGGCTACAGTCTACCAAAATCTAAAACAGATATCATGAACCTTATCTATAAATATTATATCGAAATAGTTAAAGAAAAAAAAAGGACAATAGTTAAAAAAAAAAAAAAAGAATTCAAGTTCAGTATAGATTTGGATGAATATTCAAAATATGGCAGAAGGTTTATGAATATAAAACTTACTATAATACTGGATTTATAAACCTCAGATTAGAGAGAATAATTGGATCGCATAATGCAAATGATTGCCTTAAAATACTTATCAAAAAACTAGACATGTTTAATGTGAGTCTTTTCAGTGATGTGGTTTGCATAACAATAGATGGGACTTCTGTTATGGAAAAATAAGGAAATATTTCTTTTGCTGAATATCAACTTTGTTTTGCACATGCAATACATTTAGCTGTAGTTGATGTAATTTATAAAAATAAAGTTGAAAATAATCAGATTTCTAATGAAGAAGATATTGAAGATGATTTGGATATTTTTGATAATGATTATGATGATGATGATGATGATGATGATGATGATGATGATGATGATGATGATGATGATGATGATGATGATGATGATGATGATGAAAATGAAAATAGTGACAGAGCTCCTGATCTTGTTCCTGAGCTTCATAAGCTTCTGGTTAAAGTTCGTAAAATTGTTGCAACTTTTAAAAGATCTCCCTTAAAAATAGATACTTTGAAACGTTATTATAAAAGTGGACAAGAGCTAGTACTTATTTTAGATTCAAAAACTCATTGGAATTCAATGCTTGCCATGATTCAAAGATTTATTAAAGTTAAGAAAGCAGTTGGTAAATCTCTAGTGGATTTCAGTTTAGAAAAAATCATGTTGTCTGATGTTGAGCTTGAATTAGTTGAAAGTTTAGCAAAAGTCTTGAGCCTATTGTTTTAGGTTCTGAAATGATTTGTAGAAGGGAAGGAACATTATTAACAGCTGACGACACATTAAAATTTATTGTTACAGAACTTGATGCTCAAGATAGCTATTTACCAAATAATCTTAATAATGCTCTAGTTGAAAGGATATTTCAAAGAAGGAAAAGTGATCTTGTTGGTTTATTAAGGTTTTTACATAATCCACAATCTTTAAAAAGTGATATGTATAATAACTTATTTTGCATACCATCTAAAACAGAGATGATAAATATAGCTATTGACATAACTGGTAGACTTCTCCCCATAATTGAAAATATACCTAAAGTAGGAGATAATGATAAGTTTAACAATAGTAATGTCAAATTTTTGAGAGAAAAAGATAACTTTGTAGTCAGTTGTAATAAATCAATTATGCATCAAGAATTCAATTTGTTTGAAGCAACTAACAAAAGATCATGTAATTTAGATATGTTTTTATAATGCACTTTTAACTATTCGACCTTCCAGTGTTGAGCTGAAAGAGTGTTTAGTTCAACAGGCTTATTTTTTACAAAGTTTAGAACTAGATTGTCAGACAGTCATCTGGATGCACTGGTTTTTCTAAAAGGTCACTTTAAATCACAAAAATAGTTTTAAAAACAAAGTAAAAAAAATAACAAAAAAATATATATATTTGTATTTTATTATGTAAAATGTACTGTAATGTAATAAATGAACTTTCCAGGAAACAACGTAAATAGTTCCCGCTATACCGGGAATGGAAAAAATCTGGGAAATCGCAATCCCTAGATATAAACATGCATATATATATATAAAGGGTGGGCCAAAAGAAATTACCCTATTGTAATATGCCTTTTTTTTTGCAGATTGCGGCCAATGTAAAATCTGTTTTGACATTTGTGAAGTAGACAGATGTAAATTTCAAGTGAACAAGCCATGGAGCGATACACTCCCCAAGAACGCGGAATAATCGTGTCTATTTTGTTATGTAATAATTCGTCTATGGTGTTGGCGCAGCATGAATACAGGCGCCGATTCCCCGGTCGTCTGGCACTGACTGGGCAAACACTGCTCCGTTTGGCCTCTAATCTTCAAAAGTATAGAACCACACAAGGTATTGCCAAGAGTGGCCGTCCCCAGAGCACTGGTTCTGCCGAAAATATCGTCGCTATTGCCGAGGATGTCGTGTTGTTGCCAGAAACATCAACCAGATGCCATGCATCGCATTTAGCCATCAACCGGTCGTCCCTAAGGCAAATTTTGGTGAAAAACCTGCACATGTTCCCATACTAAGTCTAGTCCATGCATCAGCTGCTGCCTGTCGACCGTTGTCGACCTGATATAGCCAAAAAACAAGTTGATTCATTGCTTAAGATTCCTATCATTTAAGATTCCTATCATTGCTTAAGACTCCTATCAATTAAGCCTATAACAGGTATGTGGTCCGGACAACATACCTGTTATAGGCTTAATTGTTCTCTGGAGCTGTCGTCTATACTTTCAAAACTATTTAAGTAGCATTTATCAGAGTCTTGTTCTCCAGCCTGCTGGAAATTGGCATCTGTTATCCCTATTTTCAAAAACTTTACAGAGCAATCTGACTTATCTAACTATCCTCCCATTAGTCTTCTTCCTATCATAAGCAAAGTTTTTGAGTCTTTAATTAACAAACACTTCATCTCTTATCTTGAATCTAATAACTTACTTTCTGAATCATCAATATGGATTTCAATTTTCTCGTTGTACTGCTGATTTATTAATGGTAATAACTGATAGGTAACAATTGATAATAACTGATAATAATATATTGTGCATTAAATAGATGTAGAGAGGTTAAGGCTATCGCTCATGACACTTCTAAAGCTTTAAATAAAAGTTAACATGCTGGTCTTTCTGATAAACTTTCTTCTTATGGTGTACCAGGTAACATCTTCAAGATTATTGAATCCTTTCTTACCAACCGTATTATAAAAGTTGTCTTCAATGAAAAGCACTTTTCATATCCTGTAACTTCAGGGCTTTTATCAAGATTATATCTTTGGCTTTCTAATTTACATTAATGAT